TTAAATACTATACTAATTTACTACTACCCTATCTACCTACTAATATAACCCTTCTTATAGCGTACCTCGTTCGATAGCGAGGATGCTATTAAATAACCTTACAAATAGGGATAGTTAATCGTTTATAGATAAGCTATTACGTGCTTAGTAGAGGGACGCCTTTGCTATCGAGCGTATTAATAAGCTTATAAGTAGGCGGGCGACTCGATCTAGCAAGAGTAATAGTTAATTAATCGACGATAAGGGTTACTTAAAGTTTAAGGGCAGATATTATATCCCCGCTAAACAATCGATTAGACAAGAGCTTTTAAAGAGGCACTATAATAGTAAGCTCGCTAGTTACTATAGCATAGAGAGGTCGTACGAGTTACTATCGCGTATATACTACTAGCTAAATAGTAAGCGGTATATAAAGGAGTATATATAGACCTATATAATATACTAGCGAGTTAAAGCACTAAAGCACTTACTATTTAGCGAGTTGTCTTTACTCCCTATTCTAAAGAAGCCTTTTATAGAGCTTATAATAGACTTTATTATAGGTCTTCCCCCTACTAAGCGAAGAGGAAGCAAAGACGTCTTTAACGCTATACTAGTTATCGTAGACCGATTTACTAAGGGTGCTCGCTATATTCCTACTCGGAAGGATTAGACGGCTATTAATATAGCTAAAGCACTCTAGAACAATATCTTCTATAGCTATTAGGGGACCCCTAAGGGGATAGTCTCCGATAGGGGCTCGACATTTATATCGCACTATTAGAGCGAATTATGCCTATAGCTAAGACTAAAGTATCGGCTGTTAATAGCCTTCTATCTATAGACTAACGGTCAAATAGAGAGGCAGAATGCTACGCTATAGTAGTACCTATATAGCTATATTAATAAGGACCCTAATAGATAGGTTAACCTCTTATAACTAGCTGAATTCGTATACAATAATAGTGTCTACTTATTAACTAAGGTTTTACTATATATAGCTATAATAGGTTAGAACGCTACTATACTATAGGACCCCCTATCGCTCGAGGCCGAGCGTAAGGAAAGGGAAGCGCGTTAAGTACCCGAAACACTAGCGGCTATTAAGAGGGTTTAGGAGATGCGAGAAATCTATACTAAGATAGCCGAGAAGTTAATAAAGGCTTAAGAGTACTAAAAGACCTACTACGACAAGCACTATACGCTAATAACCTTCAAACAAGGCGATATAGTTATACTAAGTACTAAGAACCTCCGTATCCGCAAACACCTATTACCTAATAGTAAAACAAGGCCTAAGCTCGCACTAAGATACATTAGCCTATTTCGCATCCGAGACGAGCGCACCACACTAACAT